CCCCGCCCAGAGCACCTGCCCTGGGGCTGGCCGGTCCAGCTGAGGTGTGGACGGGGGGGTGACAGACCGACAGGCAGAGCGGAGGCGAGGAGCCCCCCTGTCCGCCTCCGCAGGTGGAGATGTACGAGCGGCTCTTCCAGAGGCCCCCGGACCGGCACTCGGACTTCTCCCGCCTGGCGCGGGTGCTGACGGGCAACGCCATCGCCCTGGTGCTGGGAGGAGGCGGGGCCAGGTGAGTCCCGCTCTGTCCCTGGCACAGCTCCCGGCAGGTGCTGATGAGCTCAGAGTGGCACCTGGCGGGCCCAGGGCACGTGGCCAGGCCGGACCTCCACAGGCTGGCTGTGGTCCCTCCAGAAGCTTCCATCACCTGTCACCACGCGTGTGTTCTGAAGGCTGCTCTGTCCTTTGCCGGCCGGCCCCAGGCCCCCGAGTCTCTCCACCGTGGCCCCGCGTGTGGAGGTGCGCCCACATCTGTGCCGGCTGCCGGGCCAGGGAGGGTGCAAACCCTCTTCTCTAGGAAGCGATGCCCGTGGCCTCGGAGCTGCTGCTCTAACGGAACTCGCCACATTGGAGATGCGGCTTGCAGGCCTCACAGACAGGGCAGTGGGTGGACTGGGGCTGCCCCTGTGCACCCTGTGCCCTTCACAGCCGAGTTCCTGCCTGGAGCCCCACAAGGGCTGGGGTGGAGCTGCTGGGAGGGCCAGGCGGCTCGGGGAGGGGAGGGCCTGCCGTGGTCCTGTCCCTGCCCTCCATGTGGCCTGGCGGGTAGTGAAGTGCAGACATTATGCTCACTTCCCTCTGAGGATCCCGAGCCTCACCTGGGCACTGGGTTACTCGCAGGCTGAGCCGTGGGCCTGGGAGGTGGGGCCTGCCCCAGGGGCAGGTGCAGGGGCAGGGGCAGCTGCGGGAGGACCGGGTGGCCGAGTGGCTGGCCCAGTCTTTGACCTGGTTGGCACGTCAGGACGTCTCGATCAGCAGCATTTCTAATGAAAAGTTAGTAATGATCAAAGGCCGAATCGGAGCTGCAGGTGCGCGGGGAGCGGGGGCCCCGCTCCGGCTCTAGCTCTGGGTCAGGGCTGGTGCGTGACGTCGCTCTAGGGACGTGTCTTTATCCGATCGCCCTGCTCTCGGCATGAGGCCCACGCGCTGCTGACTGCTGTGACGGGGCGTCTGGACGGAGGGTCCTGTCCGTTCCAGGGCAGCTGCTGAGAGTCCCTCCTGCTCGCCTTCCTCTCCCGTCCCCGCGGGGCTGGCTGGCCCCTGGGCTCCCTGCTCACTGCTTCCGCGCTCGCTCTGCTCGAGCTCTTGTTCTCGCCGGTGAGGCTTCTTGGTTGGCAGCCACGTAGGAACGGTTTTCTTTTGGTTTATGCTTGGAGTTCATCCCGCTTCTGAATCTGATTCTTGGTTTCAGTCATCATTTCTAAGCACTTCGAAGCGTTTCCCCTCAGACACGGCATTCGTCCCGACCCTGAACGCATCTGGGCCCCAGGGAGACGCGGACAGGCCCCTGGCCACAGCCCACGTGGTGTCCACCATCTCAAATGTTTCAGCCAGCCTTTCACATGTCCCGCCCTCTACATGGTCTGGGAGCCGCCTTCCCCTCGGTCCGCTCCTGCCTCACGGCCTCGCTGCTCTGAACCCGTCCTCTCAGTTCCCTTCTCACGCCAGCTCCCTTTCAGCTCCACTTCATCGTCTCCAATCCTCTGTCAAAATCGTCACATTTTGCCCTGACCGGTTTGGCTCAGTGGATAGAGCGTCCGCCTGCGGACTCAAGGGTCCCGGGTTCGATTCCGGTCAAGGGCATGTGCCTTGGTTGTGGGCACATCCCCAGTGGGGGGTGTGCAGGAGGCAGCTGACCGATGTTTCTAACTCTCTATCCCTCTCCTTTCCTCTCGCTTCTTAAAAAAAAAAAATCGTCACATTTTATTTGTGTGAAAACAGGTGGCCACAAAGTTTACCTTCTACCTGGGCTTGCAAAGCGATCCAGGGGCGCCCGGCACAGCACAGGCC